TCTTTGAGGAAGTGACAAAATGATTGATGAGGACAGAGGAGTGGATGTTGATGACATGGATTTTAACAAGGCCTTTGACAAGGTCCTTCATGGCAGGCTGATATGGCAGTTGAAGTTACATGGGATCCATGGTGAACTGGTAAGGTGGATACGGAGTTGGCTTAGTCATAGAAGACACAGAGTAATGATGGAAAGGTGTTTGTCTGACTGGAGATCTGTGACCAGCACTTTTCTGCAGGGATCACTGCTGGGACCCCTAATGTTAGTAATATATATAAATGATGGGGAGGACAACGTAAGTGGTCTGATTAGTAGGTTTGCGGACCACATAAAGATTGGAGGAGCTGTAGATAGTGAGGAGGATTGCCAGGGGTTATAGGTAGGCTGGAGACTTGGGTGGAAAAATGGCAGATGAATTTTTATAATCTATATCCCGACCAATGAAAGCAAGCATGCCAAACATCTTCTTGACCACCTTATCCACTGTTATTGCCACTTGCAGGAAACTGTGGACCTGTACAACTAGATCCCTGTATATATTAATGCTTATTAAGGGTTCTGCTACTTACTGGATACTTTCCTCCTGCATTAGACCTTCCAAAATGCATCACTTCACATTTGCCTCTATTCCCTGCCAGAAGAAAGTGCTGCCAGAGATGGTGGTGGAGGCGGATACAATAGCAATGTTTAAGAGGCATCTTGGTAGATATGTGAATGGGCAGGGAATAGAGGCAAAAGGTTTTTAGTTTAGAAAGGCATCATGTGTTGGTGCAGGCTTAGTGTGGCTGAATGGCCTGTTCCTGTGATGTGCCATACTTTGTTCTTTGTTACTGTTCTAAATTCCAGTGGAATTAAGAGGGTTACAGTACTTTGTTTCGGATGATGTCAAACTTCCCGAGTGTTTTTGGAGCTGCACCCATCGGTCAGGTGGGACTTGTGCCTTGTGGATGATGGACAGGCTTTGGGGAGTTGGGTGGTGAGTTATTCACTGCAGAATTCCTAGCCTCTGACCTACAAAGGCTAATGATGCAACTGATTGTGTGACTGACATGAGTAAGCAAGCAGACAGCTACAAATGAACAGATGCAAATAAAGGAGTGTTACAGTACATAAGGAATTGAAGAGCCTTACTTAGTCATAAGAAACAAGCAGCCCCAGGGACAGTACATATGCAGATACCAACATGATTCTCCAGTCTGGTGCCTCATTGTTCAAGTGGGAGTATTGGCCTCAAGCACAAGATAAAGCAGCATTGTTGTTTATTCATTTCTGGGACGTTGGCATCACTGGCATTTATTGCCCATTCCTAGTTGCCCTTGAGAAGGTGGTAGTGAGCTGCCTTCTTGAATTGCTGCAATCCTCATGCTGTAGGTTGACCCACGATGCCCTTAAAGAATGATACAAGGATTTTGACCCAGCGACGGTGAAGGAATGGCAACATATTTCCAAGTCGAGATGGTGAATGGATTGGAGAAAATCTTGCCGGTGGTGGTGTTCCCATGTAGCTGCTGCCCCTGTCCTTCCAGGTGGAAATGGTCATGGGTTTGGAAGGTAATGCTCTGTTTTAAGTTTTAATCCCTGCATCAGTGACTCGGATGTTCTCAGCGATCAGTGGGGTAACTCATGACTATCACATGACACTTGTCGTTGGGCCAGGGCCAATAAAAGACGCCTTTCACTGAAGTCGTTAAAAGAAGGAAAGGTAACATCAAAAATGAAAACATTAAACAAAAAGCATAGAAAGAAAAAACGTAAAGCCAACGGAATAGATGAGTTCTGGACTCCTGGGCTGAGGTGCCCACGTGGTGTGCTGCTACTGTGCCATCACGTTGAGAAAAAGAAATTGCTATTCTCCAACAGACTAGATTGGCTGACACTGGAGCAACACACACAGCCAATTATACCTTTCATATGCGGTAGAAAAGCGCAGATGACCACTGTAAACATAACACTTTCAGATGAAGATTTTATCATCATGATTTGTGCTTATGCACCGACCTTATATGCCAATACTGAAAACAAAGATTACTTTTACAACACCTAATTTGAAATCGTGGAGTATCAGCCATGTGGAGAAAAGTTATTTCTCCTGCTGGATTATAATACATGGGCTAGATCAGAGTTTCATGATAAATGTGCCTTGGTAAACACAGTATTGGCAAGATGATCAAAGCAGACAGCAGCTACTGGACCTTTGAGCATAGCATGAACTGTACATTATACCAACACTGTCATATTGTCATTTGCCACTGACCATCAGCCCGATTTGATAATCACCAGAAGATGTCATCTGTCCGGTGTTGCTCATACCCAACCCTATCGCACTGCAGACTGTGATACTGATTACTCACTTGTCAGCAGCAGGGTGAAGATGCAACCACAGAAAATACACAATTCCAAACACAACAGATTCCACTCTGAGTAAAAAGGTTTCGCTTGAATTTCCTCTTAGATTTATGGGTGGCTAGGGTCAGTGTCACAGTTTGCAGGATGGATGCACAAAAATCCCATGTTCAAACAAGTTTAGCAGTCAATAACATTTACAGGATTTAAAAGTGTATGCTTGAAGTGAACCCTCAATATCCTGACTCAAAGGAAGAAAGCTAACAATTGAGTTATGATTGAAACTCATACACCAAGGACATTTAAATTGTAAAGGCAGGGTGCTTTAAAAGTTCAGAATTAGCATCTGGTGCTAAAAATGCTGAATGCTTGTCGAAAATCAAATGATTGACAATGGAATAGATCAGTGTATCTATCGTCTATTTAAAATGTACCAAATAGCATATTGCAGAGTGTTAGTGCTGGGCAATATTTGGCCATGTAATGTTTTATCAGCAAGATCAGTGTTCACAAAAGGTACAGGTAAAACAATTGATTTGCCTGTGTTAGTGACCTAAAAACCAGTTTGGTGGACTAGACCAACTATTTAGAGGTATAGGAGTTCTTACATTAAAATACCATAGGTACAAAAACATCTCAAATGGTACTATCATGAAACACAAATAGAGAAATAGTTTTCATCCTTGGTTTTATTCTGCTTGTGTCACAAGTTAAATCCAATTTTAATTTTGTGATAATACAAATATCAAGATTATGGACATTACATCCATGATTCACAGGCCCTATATATCAATACCTCCTAATTGTCTACTGCTGGGCTCCTTCATTGACTAACCAGCCAGTTATTTGCCACAGTCTAATCATTGTAAGTACTGTATCTGGAATAGTTGCAGCTGAATGCTGGTTTTAAATATCTACACAACAGAGGTGCCAAAGCATGTGAAAAAATTTTTAAAAATACAGAGCTTTGAGTATTTTTACAATCCATAACTTTCAGGAGTAGATCTCAGGGTGGTTTGTTATTTGAAAACTAAGATGATTTGTATCTCTGGTTGCTTGTATACCGATCCATTGCCTCCTTCTATTTCTCATCTACATGCCGTTCCACAGCACACCACCCAATCTAATGTCAGGTCCCATATATATGCTCAGAGATAGTAGGAACTGCCCAAGCTAGAGTCTGAGATAACAAGGTGTAGAGCTGGATGAACACAGCAGGCCAGGCAGCATCAGAGGAGCGGGAAAGCGGATGTTTCGGGTCTGGACCCTTCTTCTGAAGAACATCAGCTTTCCTGCTCCTCTGATGCTGCCTGGCCTGCTGTGTTCATCCAGTTCTACACCTTGTTATCCATATATATGCTGATGTCACTGCATCAGCATCAACACCACTTCTGACTGCACCGACATTATTAGCTGCATCTTGGGCCACCTGGACCCGATGCTCTGGAATTCTTTGCCACACTTCTTTATGTCTCTTTCTTCCTTTAAGATTTGTTTTAAACCTAAAATTTTCACTAAACGTTTGGACACAATATTACACATGGCTCAGCATTGACCTTTGTTTGAAATACTCCTGTGATTTACGTTCTGACAATTTTCTATGTCAAAGGCATTACATAAATTCATGTTCTTGTTGTATAGATACCATCCAGTCCAGTGGCTCAGTGGTTAGAGCTGCTGCCTCGTAGTGTCAGGGACATAGGTTTGATTCCAAACTTGGGTGACCATCTTTGTGGAGTTTGCACATTCTCCCCATGTCTGTGTGGGTTTCCTCTGGGTGCTCTGGTTTTGTCCCACAGTCCAAAGGTGTGCAGATTAGTTGGATTGGCCATGCTAAATTGCCCATAGTGTCCAGGGTTGTGCAGGCTAGGTGGGTTAGCCTAGGGTAATACAGGGTTACAGGGATAGGTGGGATGCTCTTTGTAGGGTCGGTGTGGACTTGATGGGCCAAAAGGCCTGCTTCCACACTGTAGGGATTCTATGACTCAGCTCTAAAAATTGTAACTTAAACATCCTACAGTTTCAGCTTACTGGTTTGATTTGAAAATGAGACAATGCAACATTAGTCCTGTGTGGGTTGGAGGTTGCAACGTGAAACTGTCAGTTCACCATCATGATCAACCACCCCAGTGGATGACTTAAATCCAGTTCCTGTTTTGCCATTGCTTCTCTTAAGGCACATTACAGCTCTTTCTTTCTTTCTCTAAGTCAAGTTGTTTACCAAGCCCTTCCTTTTTATGACTAGAATTAAAAATATGAATGCAGAGAGTTGGTGCTTTGTCTGCTATCTTATTCATAAAAATGTAATTCTTTTGTCAATCCATGAGCTAGGATTGAGAGATTGAAGTTATTCAGATGATTCAAAGTTAAATTATATCTAATTTCGAAAACAGCTTCTGAAGCAAGGAAGCAGATGGAACACATTCAGATGCACTCTATCAGTTGCAACAAGCAGGGGCTTTTGCAGGAATGGAAATTTTTTTTAAAAATGTTAAAAATACAAAGAAATTCACGTAACATCTGCAAAGAACTGAAAACTGTAGACATACTCTATGTCTGATTCATATACATTTTCCCTTTCTTTACAGAGGTTTTCCAGTACTTTAGTTGTCTTTACTGGATTTATGGAGCACCTTCATCTGGACTGCATCTCATACCTGCGAATGAGCAGCTTCAGGGTCTTGTAGGAACCTTTCACCAGAGTGATGGCTTCTTGTCTGTAGCCACTCAGCTCCACATCATTGATATTGACCACTTCATCCCCCACCTGCAGTTTGCTTGTTAGCAAGTCCGCTTTCCCTCCTTCCTCAACCTACAAAAGAAATAGACTAAGTTAGAGGAAAACATCTCAGACCTTTCAATCATGGTTGCAATTGACCTCCTGCAGGGCTTTAAGTTGCTTTGCTAATTAAACTGTGCCACCACACTTTTTAACCTTGACCCTCAGTAATGAGGAAAGTCACAATCCAGGCACCACCTGCACAGAATTAGTGATTCACAAAACCCTGCTGAAGAATGGTCTTGTTCTTTTTTGCAATCAATGGCTTATATGAGCATAGCTACTTTAGCTTTGAATTTTGAGCACAATCAATCACTATTCTAGCTTTTAAAGATGCGCACAGTGTTTTGCTAACAATGCGCAAAGATATTTCTGTCTCAATGGCTAATGTGCTGAAGAATTTGGTATAAAAAGCAATACTGATCCAAATGCAGTGCACTTTATACAAACAAATCTGCTCCTTTCTCTGCATCTTTTAGCACCAAAATATAGCTGACTTCAATCCTCTAGGAAACAGTGCATGTTTTTTCCCAAAAATCTTAAAGGCTTACTTCTGAAATTATTAAAGCAATGTATTTTGTTTTTAAAGCCCAATCAACTTTCAATTTTCTTGTCTGGTTACTGAATTAAAAGTCTTGCAAATGGTTATTTCTGATTGAACATGGCCATCAGTAAACCAACATAAGTGAGTCATATTTCATAATTGATTCCAAAGCTTCAGGTTTAATTGATGTCTAAACTACATTTTTTTGAAATAGTGTTAATATGAATTCAGCAATCATTAATGGATCAAAAGAATGCAAAGTAAACCTGATTATTAAAGACAGATTGAAGATAAATGTTACTCACTTACCTTTGAATTTACTGTTTAATATTCTCTCAGAATTCAGATTAAAAAATACCAATTGGACATATGTTTAACCATAAGTTACTTGAATACATGGGATAAGCTGTTTTGTTGAGGTAATCCAAAAAAATTTGAAAAAGGTCTTGCACCAAATTCCCTAAAAGCTGCTATAACCTTTGGCCCCTCTCCACAGACCACCAAATATCCCACTGAGGAAATCCAGACAACGATCTCCTAATCCTACAAAATGCACCCCCTATATGCAAAGTTGAATAACAAAGGAATCTTTAATCAGTGGGAAAAAATGGTCCCAGTGAGAAATCTGAGACTGCATCATACATTGCACTTTTCAAGAGGACGGGGTAGTATTCATCTTCCGAAGAATTAAGTAAACACAAAAGCTTCAAATCCTAGAAGATTTAAAGTTTCCTAAATAAGCAGCTTCAATTGACTTAAAAAAAAGTATACCTTGCTAAAATTCTTAACAAGTCAAATTAACTATGCTTATGAGGTCAAGAATGCTTTGAAGCGAAGGGCACCAGAAAATAAATTCCTTTTCCAATCCCCACAAAGTGGTAGGAGAGACCTCGAAAATTAAAAGCAGAAATGTAACAGAGAACAATTAAATAAAGATCTAGTAATAATTGAAGTACCTTAGCCTCGACTGATGCCATTCCATTATTGATCTGACAAGTCCTGAACACAGTTCACTTCAAAAGAAGCCAAACACTTTTACAGATCAGACATACACTGATCTGTGAAGTTTAATCGTTTATTTCTTTAACATCATATGGTAAAGTATCCATACTGCAAAATACTGCACATCTGACCCCAGCTGGGATCAAGATACAGAGGCACATCAAGAACAGATAAGCAAAAGGGCAGAATTTCTGACAGACAAGGGCAGTGGGACATGAATTGGCCTTCAGAACCTGGGTTAAACCTGGCTGAAAGAAATTAAATGGAAAATTTTGTGCTACATTGGCATTTATGTATAATTTCTCATGTGCAAAACAAAAACATTGCTTTTGGGTATTAAAGCAAATCAAGGGAAATTTTGTTACTCCATAACATTGCATCCCATTAGTACAATCTTGACTTTGTAGTGCTCGAAGCTGATTGTCCAATTACAAATTAGCTTGATTGCCAGTATTAGCTTTCCTCATTGTGACAAGCACAATGTTTATCAACAAGAGTGAAGGAGCTCCATTTGCAGCTTCATGCTTCATCCAAGAATAATGGTGGAAAACACAATAATGTACAAAAACATTCTGACATAGATAACAAACTTCAGTTTGTGGTGACTAATTAGGTGCCAACTGCAGTAATTCACCATGTATGTAACTGACCACAAAGTTGGGCACAAGATGTGTCTAACCTTTAACTCATTGAACAAATTCATCTCCGAGGTACCAGGCAAATTCTCTAACAAATCTCTGTCTTGCAAACTGCATGAACCAAGTGAGTGTTTGGAGGTGAAAGGAAGACAGACATTCTAACACCATTTTCCAGAAGATAAGTGGGATACTTAAAGTCGTAGAGTCATAGAGATGTACAGCATGGAAACAGACCCTTTGGTAAAACTCATCCAAGCTGACCAGATATCCTAAATTAATCTAGTCCCATTTGCCAGCATTTGGCCCATATCTCTCTAAACCTTTCCTATTCATGTACCCATCTATATGCCTTTTAATTATTGTAATTGTACCAGCCTCTACCACCTCCTCTGGCAGCTGATTCCATACACGCACCACTCTCTGCGTGAAAATGTTGGCCTTTAGTTCCCTTTTAAATCTTTCCCCTCTCACCTTAAACCTATGCCGTCTAGTTTTGGACTCCCCCACTCTGGAAAAAAGACCTTGGTTATTCACCCTATCCATGCTCTCCATGAGTTTATAAACCTCTATAAGGTCACCCTCAACCTCCGATGCTCCAGGGAAAATAGCCCCAGCCTATTCAGCCTGTTCCCTATAACTCAAACCCTCCAACCCCAGCAATATCCTTGTAAATCTTTTCTGCACGCTTTCAAGTTTAACAACATCTTTCCTTTAGTAGGGAGACCAGAATTGAATGCAGAATTCCAAAACAAGCTGAACCAATGCCCTGTATAGCCACGACATGACATCCCAACTCTTACAATCCAATGTAAATATAGTAAACAAAATAAAATTGCGACCAGTTGCAGTTCCGCAGTTGCTGTTGACAATTTAATATTTTTAACACTGAGACAACGCAATCAACCTTCTTTTATCTACATTACATGATGCAATCCCCCTCCAACTGACTTTCGACTGAGAATTCCTGCTCTTTCTCCATGTGCCAAAACCTGTACGTGCACTTGGATGGTCAGACTGGGCCCAGTGGGAAGTGTTGGATGTGATAGCCAAATTTTGTTTGTCAACGTCCATGGGTCTGAATTTCCCTCTGGGGTTGGGAAACTGGTTTTAGGATCAATTACAGATCCTGGTCCTGCCAAAGAGAGAAGAAGGCACAGCCTCTCATTTTCAAGGGGCCTGATGTTAATTGTCTGGATGGTAGGTTTGGTGTCCAATTGACGGCATGAAGCTGAGGCAAAGTGGGGGCCTGATTGAAACAGGCATGGCAGACATTAATTTGATGCCATTTGATGAAGTGCCAGGATCGTTGATGTGAGCTGGGAGCCAGCACTGAAGGCAGGGCTGCCTCATGCTTAGCAAACACTGACCCAGAGATTATCCTCAAGTGAGGAGCCTGGGGAAGTCTTCTTTCCAGAGGGAGCTAGTACTTCTTCTATTTATTTGAAAACTGTAACATCTTGTTACTTGCCAGGGGAAACACTTCCTCCCTACATGCTCTTTCAAGACTGCTGTAGACAGAGCAAACGTACTTACAGGCAGGACCAGATCAGGGATCATGTTTATAACTAAAACCTTTGTTCATTGAGTGTAGGTAAAGCGGTACTTGCTTCCATAAACAGTTGTTGAGGCAAAGAAGTACATATGCATTCTAAGCAAAGGCAGCTACATGTTTGAGGGAGAATAGAATTGACAAGGTCAGATGAAGAATGGTGGGAACGGGCTTACGTGCAGCACTGAAACCAGTATAGATCTGTTAGAACTGATCACTTTTTACTTTGCTGCTGACATGTTGTAATTCCTATACCTCAGTACCTCTCAACCTCACTTTCCTCCTTTCAGTCACTCCTTAAAATCTACCTCTTTGATTAATACCTATTTAAGTTGGTCAATGTTACACTGTGTTTTATAATGCTCCTGTGAAATACCATGGAATGTATCATTATGTAAAAGGTGCTGTACATCTGTAAGTCACTGCTGTGTGTTCAAATTTTTTCAAAAGAGTCAGCAATGTAGTTTAGATCGGTCTTCAGGTTCAACTATTATAGGCTAGGGTATTGAGAACTTAAATTTATTATAGAATGTTAAATTGTAACTTTACTGTACCTCTCATCCATTATTATCAGCTTATTGCTTTAATGATCAGCCCTGCAGAGTGAACCATTCATAACAAACCATCTTACTCTCAGACACGGTGCTCACCGATCTTCTCAATGTCTCCCTTTCCTTTGGCAGCATCCTGCTTCCTTCTAAAACTGCTATCAACATTCCCCACAACACTTGCCTTCGAATCCTACATCATCTACTGCTCCACCTCAAAACTCCCTTATTTCTCATCAGGTCATCAAATAGGACACCAGCACTTGGCAGCACACTCATCTTGGAGATTAAGGTGGAAGGACCATGTCTTTCTATTTTTTGTGTCTTTTAAAAACTGCGTACTGCAAGGAGTAAGGACTGTACTTTAATTAAAAAATCACAGGCATTTACCAGGATCACTGCATAATTTCATAGCAAGGAATTCAATACCTACTTTGAACTTTGTTTTTATGGCTCTGGGTTCTTGCACTGAGGAGATGATTAGGAGCCATGGAGTTGTTTACAAGTGAAGCTGATTGGTTCTCAGTGAAATGAACAGGTTGGGACTAGAAACATGTTAGAAAGATGCACAGAGAGAGACACAGAAATGTGTGCAGTTATGCTCCCCTCAGGATCTACCTGTTCTCAGCAGTAAAACAAAACCAGCTTAAACGTGAAGAAAACCACTCATATTTCCTGCAGCAGTTGCTATGAGCTGTGACTTTTGAATTTAAACTGATAAATCAAAAACATTTTTATTGTGACTGAATCAG